ATCTTTTCAAATTGTGTCCGTGAATTTCGTACGATATCAACAGTTTTCGATTAATCTCCATCGTCGAGCTTTTTTTGCTTTTGTTTATCCGTATTCTGTTTGGATCATCCCACTCTTCTTTTATTTTACTTCTCGACAGCAAGAACGAATTTGCAGTCTTTTTGCCTTTTATTTGAAGCGTGTTTACGGGTGTTATTATTTAGGTACCATCGATTTTTTTTTCAATATCGAGCGAAAGAACTTTTTTGGACCGAGTTTTTTCTTAGTGGATAAAATATTTACTACCTGACTTGACTGGCTCGGTGGCACTAATTCGAACATGGCACAAATACACAACAATTTTAGATTCTAGTACCATTAATCGTCAAAAAAGCCTATTAATACGTCGATATCGGCATATTTTTTCACTTTCCACGGAATTTTTCATTTTCTACCGTCATTCGTTTGATTTCTTCCGACGGTGCTTTCGAACTATAAAACCCGAATTACAAATTTTTTTCTGGTATCTCGAGGCACTTTTAGATTTGTGAACAGCGTCTCAACCTTAGATTGCAGTTTACTATCCTCTTTTCACGTTTTTTTGTCGTTAATCTATGTTGAATGTATCGCGACTCGACCAGCTTAGATATCGAGATGTCTTTAATTTTTAAATAAAGAAACAGTAACAAAGGATGACTTTGTTTCGTTACAAAATTTGATAGATCATTAGTTATTAATATCATTTGTCAGGTAATAGGTACTTTTTCTTTTTGTATGTTCCTCTAACTTACCTTACTTGTCCTGCAGCTATTGATAGTGTTTATTTTCGCTTAACTATGTGTCAATTAGAAGAAACAAAAACTATGCGCTAAAAAGTACGAAGTAGAGGTAAGCAGATTGATAGACACGTATTATTCGTAGGTGTAAAGTGATTGTATTAATATTCGTTAGAAAATATTGCACATGTATACACACACACACACACACCGTTTTCTGGTATCACAATATACTACCCGTAAATTATACACATATTTTGTGGTTTTTACTTGTCATCACATGTTGTTCGTATACTAGTACTACTACTAAACCAGATATACGACGTTTATCAGATGATTTAAAATTCGATTTTGACCGCTTTAATTGAGAATGAAACGATCAATCGGCAGTATTATTTTATTGTTGATGTTTGTTCGCAATTCTTCTGTTACACAGCAGATCACTAATATAATATCATCATCAGATTCTGCTAATACACAGACAAATGATCAACAAGGTCTTTTAAAAACTAAATACAAAAAACGTCTGGAGAAAATTGATCATTTTCTCAACGAATTAACAGAAAAAAAGGAATTTAGTGGTAGTGTGTTAATATCGAGACATGGACAGTTACTTTTATCGAAAGGTTATGGTTTTAGTGATTATTTAAATTTATCCAATTTAAACACATTTAAAACAATGTATGAAATTGGTTCATTAACGAAAGAATTCACAGCACTTATAATATTAAAATTGCATGAATTTGGCTTAGTAAATGTAAATAAAGATTATTTATCAAAATATTTACCCGGATATCCACATTCACATCAAATACGTATAGAAATGTTGTTACAACATATATCTGGTATTAAAGACTATACAGAACTGCCTCTATTTGAAGAAGTATATGTAGGAAAAACATATGCATTAAATGAGTTAATAAAACTATTTAGTCATTTACCATTAGATTTTAAACCTGGGACGAAATTTGAATATTCCAATTCCAATTATATTGTCTTGGGTGCAGTGATTAAACATGTTATGTCCTCGGCATCTACGCTATCGAAACTTGGCATAGAAGACAAAGAAAATGCATATAGACAATTATTACATAAATATATATTAAATCCAGTAAAAATGCATCATACAATTTATGAAAATGGACACGATGATAATTATTATAAGGAGGATAATTATAGAGAGAAATATCAAATTGCACAAGGTTTGTTATCTGTTTTTTGAAATTATATCACATGTAGGAATTCTTTAAGAGTCTGAGAAAGTTGATCAGTCGGTTATCGTGGTAGTGTCAGATCGAGTGGGAATATTTATCATAGCTAGTAGAAAACAAGACTAGCTTACAGTAAGAATATTGGAATTGAATATTGCTCTGTTCAGGAGTTATATATGAGAGCGTATAATAGAAGACATAAAATGGCGTATGTTACAGAAAACACTCATTTTTTCCGACAAGACAAAACGCGAGAGCATGAAATTTTTAGATGAAATTCTAGACATACCAGGCTATATATGGCTCGAATCGTTCGTCTGAAAATGCTTACATTCGGCTTCGCAAATTGCAATACATTTTAAATACGTTCACTGCGCTCTGAGAGATTAGCACCGTTTTCTTGCAATAACAAGCTGGAAAATTGAAATTTATGGAATTCAAATCAGCTTTTAATTTTGTATAAGAAAATATGACCAAAAATGTTGCTAAATGTTCTTAAAACTACTACTTCCTGAAGTATTTGGTTTTATAAAGAGCCATTTACTGTTGTCTGTGCAAGAATTTTGTGTCAATTTTCTTCACATTCTACCAGGTCATGAAACTGTCATTGCCGTTTGTGACAATGAAACTAACAAGAATACCTGCAACAATACAATAAAACTTATTCATTGTAAATATTTTGATATGAGTATGGCACGTGAAGCCGGTGGCCTGTTGACCAGTGTTAAAGATTTTTATTTATGGCTCGAAGCACTATTCAATAGTCCAACATCATCATCAAAACATTTAATTAAACCTATTCTTCTAAGACAAATGATGACGCCATCTCTCATATCTAGGAAAAACCCGTATGGCTGGGATGGCTATGGCTATGGTCTAATAATTAATGACAATGGCAATGTTATAGAACATACTGGTGAAGTGTATGGTTTTGAAACGTGTTTTAAACGTTTAATGAAAGAACAGATTAATATTATTCTATTTTCAAATATATTTGAATGTCCAGTTGGCGATTATGCCGACTATATACAAAGTATATTAACCACAACTGAACATGGTGAATTTGGTGCGAAGAGACTGCGGCAACGATTCAATACAACGTCGAAAACAAAGAAAAGATTTAAAAATAAATTTCTACGATAAATACACATCACATGGCGCTTTTTCGATGTTTACAAATGATTTCTTCGAAATTTTATGCAACGGAAATGATGCCGAATAAATCGAAGCCATTTTAAAAAGCACTTTCAAAAGCCGAAAAAGCAACTTTTTTGTTTTCAGCTGAAAAGCGAAAAAATCGCAGCATCTTCAGTACAGAAAAACAGTGATTCAAAAAGTTGCGTTTTTGAAACGTGTTCGAAACACTCCCCACATAGGCGCCGCATTCCCACCGATACACCTTGCAGTCACACAGTAACGTAACAAGCTGATAAAGACATTTCTTTTATGCTAAGAAAGCGGCTTTTGACATAGGCTTATACCTGTGAGCTGAACTGATGACTAGGCACGTATGCGTGTCTGTTTCGCAACAACACTGAAAAGACGACTTTTCGAAAAAGCTGGTATGGCTCTTTTATCGGCTTTTGTGTACACAACACATCAGCTTTATGCGTTGTTAAACTTATTTTCATTTTTTTACAAAAGTGTAGCCTTTTTTATTTTGCACCGACTGTTTGGTATTTACCCGACAATCCTGCCACGACTAAGGATGCAGCATGAGAGTGAGTCACTATGCAACATTTGGGTATTGTCAGTGAGAATACACCAAGCCCAGCATATTTTACAGAAATTTATATATTTGCATATTCTGGTATATTCTCGTGTATTGTCAGTGAGAATACACTTGCTGAGCTTGGTGTATTCTCAGTGGGAATGCACGAGAATGCACCAAGCCCAGCAAGTTTGAAAAAAA